ACTCAAAAAGCCACTCACACAGTGAGTCACGGCTTGGGCCAATTCAGGTGTCGAGAGAAATAATATTCACCGAAGACAGTCAGAAGTTGTTTGCCGTCACTACAGAACAGGGATGGTAAGCAGATTTCAACTCATGTGCCAAATGTGGCCCACAGCCAAGTGCCAAGGCTCAGCATCAAGTGAGCCAAGATAACCTGTAAAGTCCATCATGAGGTGGGGGTGGAGGAGGCAGCACGAATATAATGTATTCGCCATTCCAGCTGAAGCACCATTCAATTTTATCCTTCAGTTAGGCAAGGCCAAAAGAGAATGCATACCTGGACTGGAAGGGCTTTTCATGGACTGCACTCAGGCATTACATCATTCGCCTACACTTAGAATAGTCCTTATTATTCTGTTTATTATAGGGATGTTGTGTGCTATCTTACGTGGTGTCCTCTATATGAGCACTCTGAAGAAATTTTTCTAAGTCTCGAATCTGATTAACCTTGCTTCTTCTGACTAACTCACACGCTTCTATCTTCTGGCTTTCGTGAATTGTTAACTGAGTGTGCTCTCCTTCTGGTACCGACTGCTCTGAAGTTTAGAGGCAAGCCTGTGGCCCTGCTAGCAAATGGGAGCTCTCAAGCATGCACTGGAGGCCTAATCTTATCTCTGACGTCACCTTCCATTTTCTTCCTCACAAATTCCCTTCCTTACTTACTTATGAGTGATATCACTGCTGATGTCAGATGGATTTTGGCTGAAAGCAGAGAATACCAAAAAGATGTTTACCTGTGTTATACTGATTATGCAAAGGCATTTGACTGTGTGGATTATAGATCATAACAAATTATAGATTGTGAAGAATGGGAATTTCAGAACACTTAATTGTGCTCATGTGGAACCTGTACATAGACCAAGAGGCAGTCATCTGAACAGAACAAGGGGATACTGTGTGGTTTAAAATCAGAAAAGGTTGCATCAGGGTTGTATCCTTTCACCATACCTATTCAATCTGTGTGTCGAGAAAATACTCCAAGAAACTGGACTACATGAAGAAGGTGGCATCAGGATTGGAGGAAGACTTATTAACAACCTGTGATATGCAGATGACACCATCTTGCTTGCTGTAAGCAAAAAGGACTTGAAGCACTTACTGATGAAGATCAAAGACTACAGCCTTCAGTATGGATTATACCTCAACATGAAGAAATGAAAATCCTCACAACTGGGCCAATAATCAACATCAATAAATGAAGAAAATGTTGAAGTTGTTAAGGATTTCACTTTCGTTGAATCCACAATGTTCATGGAAGCAGCAGTCAAGAAATTAAATGACATATTGCACTGGGCAAATCTGCTGCAAAAGACCTCTTTAAAGTGTTAAAAAGCAATGATCTTACTTTGAGGTCTAAGGTGCGCCTAACCCAAGCCATGGTGTTTTCAATCACCTCGCATGCACGTGAAGGATGGACAATGAATAACGAAGACTGAAGAAGAATGGATGCCTTTGAATTATGGTGTTGGCCAAGAAGACTGAATATACCATGGACTGCCAGAAGAACGAACAAATCTCTCTTGGAAGAAGTACGGCCAGAATGCTCCTTGGAAGTGAGGATGGCGAGACTTCATTTCACACACTTTGGACATGTTACCAGCAGGGACCAGTCCCTGGAGAAGGACATCATGCTTGGTAAAGTAGAGGGTCAGCAAGAAAGACGAAGACCCTCAAAGAGATGGACTGACACAGCAGCTGCAACAATGCACTCAAATCCAGTAACGATTGCGAAGATGGTGCAGGACCGGGTAATGTTTTGTCCTGTCATACGTAGTGTTGCTGTGAGTTGGAACCGACCTGACGGCACCTAACAACAATAACAACAACTTACTATTCTGAATCTCATTACATTGCTTGTGTATTGTAAAACCACCCCTTTGAAAGAAGAAAGGCACATTACTAGATCAATAGCAATCAAAATAAAATGTAAGACAAATAAGATGGAAGTGCAGGACAATTTCACAAGTGCTGCCCACTGTGGCAGCCATTATGGGGAAGCTTCAAGTGAGCAAGTTTAGAAGGTGGTGGTCTTGGACTAGGAATAGCCTTGCGCCAAACTGCCAAGTCAGCAAATACCTCAGTCCTCTCCCCTCTCCTTCTGTCCCCCTGCTGATCTCCCTCACACACCATTCTTCCTTGGGCAGCTGAGTGCCCTCTGGTCCATTCCTGACCATCCACCACCTTTTCTTTCTTTAGTGCTATTGGTTACTCTCCTTTCCCCAACTCCTCCCACCAAATGAAAATGCTTCACACTTCTACAGGACCTTGTACTTGACTCTAAGTTGTCAGTGGTTGATAACAGCTTAATGTATTTCCTCTCTCAGGGACAGGTACTTATTAACTAGGTATTTTCAAAAGGAAAAAATCAAAAGAGTAATTCACTAATGATAGAATTTGAATACTATAATAATTACACAGATGCAATTAAACAGGGGACTCTTCCTGTAAATCTCAAATAATTAAATGGAAAGCAGTTAGCAGAGTGTCTGGCATAAATCAGGAGTCAATAAACACTTGCTGTTAGTCACCATCGTGTGCAGAGCAGAACTGTGCTCCACAGGGTTTGCAAGGCTGTGACCTTTCAGAAGCAGATCACCGGGTCTTTCTCCTGAGGTGCCTCTGGGTGGGTTGGAACCCCCAACCTTTTGACTAGTAGTCAAGTGCTTAACCATTTGTGTCACCCAGAGACTCCTTCAATAATCAGCAGATGTTAATTATTACTATTGTTGCTATTATGTAATAGTACCACTATCACTACCACCACTCCATCTCTATCATGACCACCCCCACATAAAGCACTTTCATATACATTATCCGTATTGCTCTTCCCAAGAATCCCTGAGTCAATTATTATCCCCATTTTACAGATGAGGAAAGTGAAGCTCACAAAGATTGAGTTTCTAAAGTCATAGAACCAGAAAGTAGCAGAGCCAAGGCTCAATCCAGGTCTCTTATAAATCTCTTGTTCTTTCTATAACAAATGGTTGCCAACTGCATAGCAAGCACATCCAAATCATCTGAGTGCTTTTAGATTCTTGGGGCCGGTCCCAGACCTAATGAATGTCAACTGTCCAGTGGAAAGGACTATGAGTTTGTATTTTAACAGGTGCCTCATGCGATTCCGATGGGTGAAAAAGTGTACTGTCTATGTTGCCTCCTGGGTGACTAAGTACCTGCTTTACTCTCAACCCTGCATTCAGAACCATGAGGAAGGCATGTGTAGCCTTCTGCTCTCAAAGAGCAATTACAATTACAAGGAACCAGAGAAATAATATTAGCCAAGGTGAAAGAAGAGTGAACCACAGAAGACAGTGTTGGGATTTGCAGAAGTTCAGAGCAGGGGAGATCACAGACGGCAGGGCTAGGCAGGGAAGCCCACATTACAGAGAAGGGGAGATGCCGCTGGGCTTTGTAGAATGGGAAGAATTTCCAGGCAGAGAAGGGAATAGTATGAGATAGCAAATAAACTAGTCTGTGTAGAATAAAGGCGGCAGCCGGAAGTGAGCAGGAGAGGATGGGGCCATAATGTGAGCAGAGAAGCCACAGAGAGGAGTCCAGGCCGGTGGTTCAGAGGTACTGGCAGTTCTTGAGCAGAGGAGTAACATCCTGGAAGAAGCACTGAAGGATGACTGGTGCAGCAGTGCTATGTAGAACGAAGGGTTGGAGAGTGGAAAACCTGATATTGGCAAGCCCACCTAGGAACCTGCTAAACTGACTGAGATGCCAGAGGACAAGGACTAGGTCTAGGACTCTAGGGCACTATCAATCAGAACAGTGAGAAAAGGAGCCTATGAGATGGAAGTCTAACCTGAGTCCTCTCCCTCTACATGCTCTCTTCACCCTATCACAGCTGCTTCCATGTGACTCATAAACACTACATGCTAGACTGTAAAAATGGCCACAGTTATTCCCCTCCTTCTATCTATGTCCCTTGCAATGTGATACTGCAATTCTTCTCATCAAGAGGTGGAACCTATATCATACCACGTGAATCTAGGCTGGCCATATAACTTGCTTTAGCCAACAGAATGTGGTGGCAGTGATGCTGGGCCAGTTCTGAGCCTACGCCTCAAGACACTTTTGCTCTCTTTTGTTACTCTGTCCAGCCACTATGTAGACAAGCCCAGGTTAGCCTGTAAGATGACGAGACACATAGCTCAGCCTCAGCCAACAGCCAGACAATCCTCAGAAACAAAGCCTGCAGTTGACAGCAGACACACGAACGGCCCCAACTGAAACCAGAAAAATCATTCAGCCCAAATTACCAGCCTACCAAATTATGAGTTAAATAAATTGTTATTTCGAGCCACTAAGATTTGGGGTAGTTTTGTTATGCAGCAAAAGCTAACTGATACACACTGCAAATACTAGTATCACTATAGTATCAGGAAACAATGCCACATGAAGCCCCAGCAGCTTTTTCACTTAAAAAGTCCATTATTTTCCTAGCTCTAAAGGAAGGTTTCTACTACTATAGAACTGTTATCTCACAAGAATCACATTTAGGTTAGATGAGGGATGAGACAAAAAACAGAGCAGTTAAGGGCAGAGCTCTAATATGCTGTAGCTCTGGCCAATTTTCATTACAACACAGTGCAAGGGACTGTCTGAATTCTTTGGCTGAAGTAATACTTTATTGTTTTGGATACTGCTCGAAACAAGCAGACCATCAACAGGGGCCTGGAAATAGTTTCATTACAAAAAAAAGTTTTTATTTCAATAGTATTTGGCAAGTAATCATGGATGTTTTTCCTGCCCATGTTCTTAGCAAAAGAACATGGATTGCTTTGTTTTTTTAAGGCATGGAAACATCGTAAATCATTTTGGAGAGAGAAAAAGTGTGAATAAACAGACGTCTAATCATAGTACTAGTAGGGGTAAATCTAACTTAGAAGTGTGAATATCATTTCAAAATAATGTCAAACAGTCACTGTGTTTTAAAAAATGGAAGCAAACTTACCAGTGAGACTCTTGTGTGGCCCAACGTTGTCAGGTTTTAAGTGGTGGAATGAATCTGAAACAGAATTAAACAAACATTCCATAAGTAAATCATGTCTGAAAAGGGTGTACTTTAATCCCAAATGACTACCATAATATTGAGCATTTATCCTTATAGTTAAAGATTAGCAATGCCTTTTCTGGCTCCTGATAGAATAGGGAGAGTTTTTGTCTACATATTTCAACTTCCTGAAGAGAATGCATTCTCTCGTCTACTTCAGGGAGTCCTGAAAGTCTGAAGCTGGTATAACTATAAATGGTAGTATTTTTGTCCAAACCCCTCCAAGTCAGTGGAGGCCTCACTAGTTGTTGCTTTTGCCTTGGCCCCTCAACCTCTTCTACCAGGGCCTGCCCGTGGCTCCCTCTGTGGAACCAATTTAAAAACTGGGCATCCAGAGTAACTTGTAGGAGCTCTGGTGGTGCAATGGCTAAGTACTCGGATGCTAACTGAAAGGCTGGCGGTTTGAACCCACCAGCCACTCTGCAGTGGCAGAAATGACCTGGCAATCCGCTCCTATAAAGATTACAGCCTCGGAAACCCTACGGGGCAGTTCTACTTGTCATATAGGGTCACTATGAGTTGGAATCGACTTGATGGCACACAACAACAACAGAGTAAACTTAAAGGGTGATGGGAGGGGTGCAAAAAGCTTTCCAATAGTGACCATCTGATCACAAGTCACCACACATTTTGTTTTACTGATAATGGTGAAATTAGGGCAGTGCTGCCCAACAGAAATATAATACAAGCCACATATTTAATTTTAAAATTTCTAGTAGCAACATTAAGTAAAAAGAAACAGGTGGAATTAATTTTAATAACATTTAATTTATTCAGAATATTATCATTTCAACATGTAATCAATATAAAAAATTATTGATTAGATATTTTATATCCTTCTTTTCATACTAAATCTTCAAAATCCAGTGCATCTTAACTCAGACAAACCACATTTCAAGTACTCAATAGTCACACATGAATACGGAAGACCAACGAAGAATCGAAGCCTTTGAACTATGGTGTTAGTAAAGAATAAATACTGAATATACCATGGACTGTCAAAAGAACAAACAAATCTACCTTGGAAGAAGTACAGCCAGAATGCTCCTTAGAGGCAAGGATGGTGAGACTACGTCTCACATACTTTGGACATGTTATCAGGAGGGATTAGTCCCTGGAGAAGGACATCATGCTTGGTAAAGCAGAAGGTCAGCAAAAAAGAGGAAGACTCTCAACGAGATAGACTGACACAGTGGCTGCAACAATGGGCTCAAGCGTAACAACAATCATGAGAAGGGTGCAGGACCAGGCAGCGTTTTGTTCTGTTGTACATAGGGTTGCTATGAGTTGGAACCGACTTAACGGCACCTAACAACAACAACAATAGTCACGCATACTGGACAGCAAAGGTCTAGGGAATCTATTCTTGGCTTTCAGGTACAGCATGGCACCAAAGCAAGTCCAATGCATATGGAGGTTTCATATACATCTATTTTCATTCTCCTGTAACTCCTCATTACCCCCTTCGGTGATGCCATTTTAGTAGAAATAATAATGTAATAAGAGCAAATACTATACAGAATTTACTATGTGCCAGAAACTGTTCTCATCACTTTCTTCGGTTATCACAATTGATTCTCACAGTAACTTCATGAGATAAATATATTATCACCCCCATTTTGTAAATGAGGGCACGGAGGCAGACAGAAGTTAAGTAATTTACGCGTGGTTATAAGTCTGTGACAGAGTTGGGATTCTAATCTAAGCAGTCTGCCTCCTGAGCCCATACTCTTAATCACTATACTCTCAATTAAATTATATACCACAAATAAGATAATTACTTTAAATTTTAATTGTAACCATTGAGTGACCCAAGTCTGCTCATGATACCTGGTTAGGTAATAATGGTGATGGCAGATGGGAGAGTTATGGGACATGCTAGCGAATTAGGTTAAGAACAATTTGGGGTAGGAACACGAAAACCAAAAGCAGGCCTGGGGTCAGAAAGAAGGCATTTGGTCTAGGGCCTCAGTTGGATGACTGGTGGGAATGAAGGGAGAAGTTAACGTGGGGTCTACAGAAAATCCAGTCTTCGTGCTTTTTCTGAGGGAAGGCTCTATTGCTTTCATCAGATTCTCAAAGGGGTCTGTAAAATATCCCTGAATCTATTTTAGCAGGAGCAGAGAGAGAAGAAGAACCAAGTATAAAGGAATTAAGAAAAAGAATACTTTTCAGTTCATTAATTCATGGGTCCCAAAGAACTCATACCCAGTGAGCAAAATCAGATCTGCGCACTCCAACTCCCTACCCAAACCACAGGGAAGCAGGCTAGCCAGCGACACTGTTTGGAATCAACAGACTGTGGGCTGAGGCCACTGTGGGGCACTGCTGCCCAGACCCACAAGGCAAGCCCTGAGCCTGCTGAACGTCCTTCAGTGGCTTCTCCAGGTTTTCGGGTCAAATCCAAGCTCCTCAGCCCTGTCTAAGCCTTCTGTGAACTCGTGCCTGCCCTCCTTCCTGGGCACTCTTCCACAGGCACTGAGTCCTTCAGCCACAAAGACCTAAACGCCCCACGCTCTCTACTCCACTGTGCCTTTGCTGATTCTGTTCTTTCTGCCAAACATATCCTTTCCCTACAGTGCCAGCCTGTCTTCAAGTCTCAGGTCAAGTGTCACTACTTCTAGGAGCCTTTGTGAACTCCCCTGGCTGGGTTAGGGACAACTTCTCTGCAGTAACAGAAGTAAAGTAGTATTCACTCAAATCCTTTGACAATTTACTACTACATTATTCATAAGAGGATGTGGAACAAGGGATGTCATTGCTGATGTCAGACGGATCTCGGCTGAAAGCAGAGAATACCAGAAAGATGTTTCCCTGTGTTTCACCGACTATGCAAAGGTATTTGACTGTGTGGATCATAACAAATTATGGATAACATTGCGAAGAACGAGAATTCCAGAATACTTAATTGTGTTCGTGTGGAACCTGTACTTAGACCAAGAGGCAGTCCTTTGAACAGAACAAGAGGATACTGTGTGATTTAAAGTCAGGAAAGGTGTGTGTCTGGGTTGTATCCTTTCACCATACTTATTCAATCTGTATGCTGAGCAAATAATCTGAGACATTGTACTATGTGAAGAATGTGGCATCAGGACTGGAGGAAGACTCATTAACAACTTGCAATATGCAGATGACACAACCTTCCTTGCTGAAAGTGAAGAGGACTTGAAGCATTTACTGATGAACAAAAATCCTCACAACTGGACCAAATAAGCAACATCATGATAAACTGAGAAAATATTGAAGTTGTTAAGTATTTCATTTTACTTAGACCCACAATCAATGCCCATGGCAGCAGCAGTCAAGAAATCAAATGACATATTGCATTGGGCAAATCGGCTACAAAACAAAAAAAAAACCCTGTGGCCGTTGAGTCAATTTCAACTCATAGTGACCCTATAGAGATCTCTTTAAAGTGTTAAAAAGCAAAGATATCACTCTGAGGACTCAGGTGTGCCTGACCTAAACCATGGTGTTTCAATCACCTCATATACATGTGAAAGTTCGACTGAAGACCGAAGAAGAATTGATGCATTTGAATGATCGTGTTGGCAAAAAATACTTAATATACCATGGACTGCCAGAAGAATGAACAATTTTGTCTTGGAAGAAGTACAGCCAGAATGCTCCTTGGAAGCAAAGATGGCAAGACTTCGTCTCATGTACTTTGGACATGTTATCAGGAGGGACCAGACCCTGGAAAGGACATTATGCTTAGAAAAGCAGAGGGTCAATGAAAAAGAGGAAGACTCTCAACGAGATGGATTGACACAGTGGCTGCAACAGTGAGCTCAAGTATAACAATAATTGTGAGGATGGCACAGGACCAGGCAGTGTTTCGTTCCATTGTACACAGGGTTGCTGTGAGTCAGAACCAACTCAGTGGCACCTAACAACAACAACAGCACTACTAACGCTAATACTACATCCTAGGTGACTACTATTACTACTACTGATAACAATAATAAAAGCTGATTTTTACGGAGATAACGTGCAAGGTGAATCCTGGGTGGTGCAAATGGTGAAGTGCTAACACTAACTGAAAGATTGGTGGTTGAAACCCACCCAAAGATACCTTGAAAGTAAGGCCTGGCGATCTACTTCCAAAAGGTTACAGCCTTGAAAACCCTACAGAGTAGTTCTACTCTGCACACATAGGATCGCCATGAGTCGTAATCGACTCAATGGCAACTAACAACAACAAATGTGTCAGGTACTATTCCAGGTGCACATAACGACACAACAACAATCGACTCAACGGAAAGGTTGGCAGTCCAGACCCATCCAGGGACTCCGTGGGAGAAAGACCTGGCAATCTGCTTCCGTAAAGACCACAACCAAGAAAATCCTATGGGGCAGTTCACTTTGGAACACAGAGGGTTGCTATTAGTCAGAATGGACTCAATGGCACCTAACAACACAACAACAACAATCCTATGAAGTTAAGTTCTTTTATTATTCCATTTAGCAAGTGAGCACACTGAGGCAGAGGTTAAGTCATTAGCCTAAGGTCACAGCGCTTATAAGTGGCAGAGCCAGATTGTGAAGACAGTCTGGTTCCAAACTTTACACTCTTAATAGCTACTCCATACCTGCCTTCCATTATGTTCCACTGCCCTCTGCTCTCACTGCCCTTGTACTATCCTGTTATTGCATGTATCATCCTGCATTTCAACTTTTTGTCAACTGGTCCTTCTACCCCCTTGACTGCAGAATCCCTGAAGGCTAAGAATGTGTCTAATTCATCTTTGTCTCCCCAGGACCTAGCATAGTGTTAGGTATACAACAGATGCTCAATAAAAGCACACATTGGAAAAAACACTAGAACTGTATTGGAAGGACAAAGGGAAGGGGAACGGGGCTATAAACTCAAGTCTAATAAAAACACACCGGGAAAAAAAAGTCTCTGAATATGTACTTTAACAAAGTAAACTTTAACTTCATCTTTTAAATCC